CCTCCACTAGACTTTGATCTGCTTAAAAGCAGTTGTTTTGCATAGGACTTAGCACAATAGATACTAGTCTCTGTTAGATTGAATTGATTTAAAGCTAAGGACAAGATTCAGGGAGCACTACCTGGCTTTCCAAGACAGGACAAGGTACTCCTCTATACATTCCCACACAACTGTGTGCTTACCCTGTCAAAGCTAGCATTAAACTCTACTGAAACTGTCTGCTTACTTGTCTGTCTCCTTGTCTACATTATAAGCTTCTTAAAGGGAAGGACTGGGGACATCTGGGTGGCTCAGTTGGCTAAGTGTCTGCCTTTGGCTCAGGTCATGATCTCAGGGTCCTGGGATCGAGCCCTGCATCAGGCTCCCTGCTCAGCAGGAAGTCTGCTTCTCCCTCTCCTCCCTGCTCCTGCCCTCTCTCTCGCTATCTCTCTCACTATCTCTGTCTCTGTCTCTCAAATAAATAAATAAAAAATCTTTAAGAAAAAAAAAGGGAAGGACTGCTTGCTCACCACTGCATCCCAAACACTTAACATCACAGTCGGTGATCGATGATTACATAGAATGAATGAATGAGGAGCCATTAAAAATTCTCATGACAGAAATGACATGATCAGATCAAGGTTTGGAAAAATAGCTTTGGAGGCAATTTTAAATGTAGGCTGGAGAGGGTAAGACTGGAGACAAAGAAATTAAGGAAAAAATTGAAAAAGAAACATAGGACATACTGGTAAAAGACTGTCTTTTCTTAATAAATGTCTTTCTAATTGGCTAATTTGATTAGATGTTTATATGTATTTTACAAGACTGACCTCTTTAGTCTCTTAGGATTCCCTAAGGGAGGATATTCAGTTACCTCGTTGAGGAAGCCTTCCCTGACCCCAACCCCCACCAAGTTGGTGCCTTCATGTACATCTGGAGGTCATTGAGGGCAGTGACTACGTCTTATTCATCTTAGTATCTCCAATGCCTAGGACATGCCTGCTCAATAAATGTTTGCTGAATGAATGAACACGTAAATTGATCTATTAGTATACTGTACTCAAGCTCCGACCAAGACACAGAGGACCTAATGATCCCTAGTGTGCAGGTTTCTGGATACAGGAAACAGAACAAATAAAACAAGACTAGATATGGAGGTACACCTATTCCACAGGTAACACAGGGTAAATTTCTCTCTCTGACCCCTCCATCCTCATTCTGAAGAATAACTCTCATTGAGTGAAAATCAATAAAAGTCATTTTAAGGGAAGTAGGTTTAGAAAAAGTGTCTGAAGGAGGAGAAAGGAGGAGGGGAACTTCAAGTTCAACCAATTTGGGCTATTCTTTTTTTTTATGAGAACTTGTAAGCTGCAAAAAACCTTTACAGAATAAAAAGTCTGTTTTTCTACAGTCCCTTTCAAAGGAATACCACCCCCCATATGCACATACAAACCAACAGTCTTTTTGAGATTCCCAGTTTTGTAACTAAAAAAGAAAAATAAAATCCACAGCAGAAATAATAATAAATCCTCCATTTCTCAGATTGACATCAACAAGAAACTTTCTGAAGTAGTTGTGGACAGTTCTCAGAGACATTCAACCAATATCCATGGTGAGATTGACCTAGCAACCTCTAGCAACAAATACTGACTGCAAACTATGGACAATGCATTAGGAAGAAGTTTTAAAAGATATTTAAAAAGAAAGGGAGGAAGGGAGGAAGGGAGAAAGGAAGAAGAGAAAAGAAAAGAAAAAAGAAAGAAAAAGGAAAACAAAATAAAAGGACATGAGATGCACTTTCTATCCCCTAAGAAGCTTGTGAAATTGTGGTGTTAAGTCATAATCATAAGAAAATCCTATGAGGGCACCTGGGTGGCTCAGTTGGTTAAGCGGCTGCCTTCGGCTCAGGTCATGATCCTGGAGTCCCGCATCGGGCTCCCTGCTCAACAGGGAGTCTGCTTCTCCCTCGGACCCTCCCCCCTCTCATGTGCTCTCTCTCTCTTACTCTCTCTCTCAAATAAATAAATAAGATCTTTTAAAAAAATAAAGAAAAAAAGAGAAAATCCTATGAAAAGTTCAAAAGAAAAGTTAATATTCTCAATTACAATGCAGAAAAAATTCATCAATGAGTAACACAGACAAACTGTTGTAGGATTTCAAAGGACGGAGAGACCATCAGGGTTTGAGGTATCCTCAAGTGTTTAGGGGAGAAAGCAGGACTTAGATAGGGCATTAATGGAGATAGAATTTGAATCTTGAAGAGTGGGAAATATCACAAGAATAGAGCCTATGGCATGTCAGGGAACATTTTACTCATGACTGCACCATGACGAGTGTCCACAATGTTAAGAGTTAAAATCTGAGATGAATCCATAGCACCGTAGTTAAGAACAACTAAAGGTAGATCTGGGTTTGAATCCTGTTTCTACCACTGAATGGTTGAGTGGTCTTGTCACATTTATCCTCTCTGAAGCTCAGTTTCCACCATCTTAAAATGGGGATGGTATTAATTATACCTACCTCATAAAGTCAACATGAAGATAAAATGAAAGTTACTCTCCATAGTTCTTGGCAGAGAAGTGCTCAGTACATGATAGTTCCATGCTTTCCCCCCAGCGTCGGAGTTTGTGGTGTGGAACTTCTAGGGGTTGAAAAAAAAAATTTTTTTTAATTAAAAATATAGAACAGAACAGACCTGTATAGAACAGATGGTCAGACTTTTTGCTTTCACTTCATCCAACAGAGCAGCGTTTTCCCTGCCGATTTCCATCTGGAGCATGACTTTAGCGTACTTACTGTTTGATTTTGAAACATCCTATCCCAAAAAGCATTCTTCCTAAAGGCACTCTTCCTAAAACTACTCTGAATCCTGCTCACCTCCACTATCATCTCCATGCTTTTCTAGGCAAAAGAATGCTTCTGGAAGAAAATAGAAACAGTGTGGATTTAAGATTTGTGTTACTTGGGTTTATTCATTCATTGACTTAATAAATATTTATTGAGTACCTACTTTTGAAAGATGAAAAGCCATCAAGGGGAAGCTACTTCACTTCCCACCTCCTACTTGCACCTGTAATTCCCTTCCCTTGTTCACTCCTGTTGCAGAGAGAGAAGAAGAGCCCCTCCTCCTTTTAAAAGCTGGACCTTCCACCTGTGCTTTGGAGCCCTGGCCTTCATTGGAGGCCTTTGCACTAGTATTGTCTCTTTCCTGTTTCCAACCTCTTCCTCTTTAATGGTTTCTTTATAGTCAGTATTTAAACATACTCAAGTATCCCTCATTAAAAGAAAAAAAAAAGATAAATCTTCCTTAGTCTTTCATCCACATCGTTCTCCAGCTCTTATGCTCTCCCCTCCTTCCCAAAGTTGTGCAAAGTATTGCCCACAGACACTCCACCTTGATTTTATTAACCACCCCTTACTCCTCAACGCCATCAATCTGGAATTTGTGCTGCCATTCCTCCAAAACTGCTTCAGTAAGATCATCAATTTTTATTTCTCCTTTTACTTGGCCATTCCCTGTTTGAAATGCTTTCTTCCTTTAACTTCTGTGACATCACACATTTCTGATTTTCTTCTCTCTTCTCTAGATGTTCCTTTTTGACCATCTTTGACAGATCTCCCTTTGTGCGACCATTAAGTGTTTCTCACATTCTGTTGTAATGCATACATCTCTTCCTACTTTGGCTTTTTCCTAAGGTAAATGCATTCACTCCCATGGCTTTGTTACCATTGGCATACCTACAAGTCTCAAATCTATAGCTTCAGACCCATATATCCAATTGCCTCCATAAGCTCTCTATCTGAATTTTCCACTGGCATCTCAAACTCCCAGCATATCTAAACCTAGACCTATCGTCTTCATTCCCAAACCTGGTCCTCCTCTGCTGTTTCTCAGCTCAGTACGTGCTAGTATCAGCTGCTTTGAGAGTCATCTTCGACCATTCCTTCTTCACCCTTCATTACAAATCAATTACTAATCTTGTCATTATACTTTCTAGATATTCTGAAAACCATCTTTTTCTCCATTTTTACCACCATCATCTCTTACCTAAGCTACTGCAACAGCCTTCTTTTAAAAAGGGCAAATCTGTTTATATCACTATCATTGCTTATATTATGGCTGTCCATTGACCTTGGGATAAAGTCCAAAATCCTTAATATGGTCTACAAGGTCTTATATGTTCTGACCCCATCTGCGCTTCCACCTTTATTCTATGTCCCTTTCCCCCACTTCTCTCTCCTCTGCAGACATGTTGGTCTCCCATCAGTGCTTCAATGCATCATCCTCTCTCCTCTTTCACACCTATCTCTCGTCCCCTCTCCTAGAAATCTCTACCCTTCACCTAACTACTCCTATTCGTCTTTTTAGGTTTCAGCTTAATTGAAAGCAGAGTTGATTAGTTCTCCTTCTTTACATTCACATTATGCCCCATTCTTATCCTTCCTAACACTTCTCACTTTTATATTGTCTACCTTCACTAATAGTCTATAAGCTCCAGGGGCCATACCTGCCGTGCTTAGCAATGTATTCTTAGTGCATAGCAAGCACAGTGTCTAGCAAATTTTGGTAATAAAATATATATTAATTCTTTCATATAGTAAGTGACAGATCAGTTTCACCTTTATTTCTGCAAAGTATTCCTTGACTCATTCAAGCAGAATTGATAACTTCCATGTTAACCTCACCACTATACCAAAGATACTACCTGTATCTTATTTCTCTTTTTATCCCTAGCACTTCACTTGGTGTCTGGAACAAAGTGAATGCTCAATGTATGCTTATAGTATTGAACTAACAGACTTTGCCAACTGGCTGGATATGAGATCTGAAGGAACACAGAAAGTCAAAGATAAACTCTGAAGTGTGGGCTAGCCTTTACCAGAAATGGAAAACTTGGTAAAGGAGGATGGTTTAGAAAATAAATATATGCAGTTCTGAGCATAGGTATTGATAGTCATAGTGACAGAGGGGGGAATTTATACAGAAGGTCAGTAAAGCAATGGAGTCCTGAAATGGCAACATGAAGATAATTCCCAGGTAGGAAGCAGTCTGCTGTAGCCAGGAGAGGGCTAATGGATGGGATACATTCTAATTTGCCTAGGACATCCCAATTTACACCTGTTATCCTAGCATAATAATGATGGTGCTGCCCCCTTGTATGCTTAAAAGTATCCAAATAAATTAGGGGTGCCCAGCTGGCTCAGTTGGTAGAGCATGCAACTCTTGATCTCAGGGTCTTGAGTTCAAGCCCCACATTGGGCATAGAACTTACTTAAAAAAAAAAAGTGTCCAAATAAATTATATGACTAGCCAACCAGAAGACCACATGAATTTGGAAAAGTTAAGTGAGCTAAGGGCAAGAACATTTAGGACAAGAGCATAGCAAGAAATTAGAGTGATTTCAAGTTGCAGACAGTGAAGGATGTACTGAACTGAATGACATTTTATAAAGGCTATGAAATGAACCAGCTAGCCACTTCTGGATGAGCAATGTCATAAAAACCCTGATAGGTAGACATTTTCATCCATATTTTATAGATAAAAATAATCAAAGCTTAGATTAAATAACCTGCTCAGAAAGTTAGAGCTTAAAAAGTAAAACATAGTGCCTTTTTCTTGCTCCCAGCCATCTTGGCGGCTGTTCCTGGTTGGCCTTGCCCACACCTAAGGCAGGAAGACGGTGGATGCAAAGGAGACAAAAAAGCCACTAGAGTCTATCTACTCTGGGCTCCAAGTCATCATGAAAAGTGGAATGTATGTGCTGGGGTACAAGCAGACTCTGAAAATGATGAGACATGGCAAAGTGAAACTGATCATCCTTGTCAACAACTGTCCAGCCTTGAGGAAATCTGAAATAGATTATGCCATGTTGGCCCAAACTGGTGTCCATCAGTACAGTGGCAATACTACTGAATTGGGTTTAGAATGTGGAAAATACTGTGGAGTATGCTCATTAGCTATCATTGATCCAGGTGATCCTGATATCATTAGAAGCATGCCAGGACAAACTGGTGAAAAGCAAAACATGCAAAATTCTTCTTTAATGAAACTGGCCAGAGCTTGTTTATTTATTTATTTTTTAAATATTTTATTTATTTGACAGAGAGAGACAGCGAGAGAGGGAACACAAGCAGGGGGAGTGGGAGAGGGAGAAGCAGGCCTCCCGCCGAGCAGGGAGCCCAATGCGGGGCTCGATCCCAGGACCCTGGGATCATGACCTGAGCTAAAGGCAGACGCTTAACGACTGAGCCACCCAGGTAACCCTAGATCTTGTTTAAAAAAAAAAAAAGTAAAACATAGCTAGAAAGCAAAACTAACTAAATATAAACAAGTAATTGAAAAAAGAAGTCAAAGGGGGAATATCTGGAAGTCACGAGAAGTCCTTTCTCTGATAACCTATAAGCATCTTGAGTGGGAAGGGAGAAATAAAGCACCCATATGATGACTTCCCCATAAGGGGGGGCAACCGCTACTACCAAGATCCTTCACTATAACTTGCAAAATTAGTGCTCACTAATTTTCTGGAGTCATGAACTTCATTGAAAGCCACCCTTCTTTTCCCAAGAGAGAAGTAATTCTAGGAAGTAACTTTAGTGAAATGGAAAATAGACACTTCTACCCTGGGACACACCTTGACTTCAAAACCAGCTCGCAGGTAGAGAAAAATCAAATATTCAGGGGCAAAAGGAAGTTAATCTTGGCTAAAATGAATGTCAAAGAAGATATTGCAATGAAAGACAAAGCAAGAAAGGGATGACCTAAGGAGAGTCTGGAAATAAATGTGTAGGACCGAAAATTACTCCGAAAGTCAAATCAAAGCGAAACAGTGGAGTGACACCACAGAGGCATGGGTAGAGAAGGTAAGACAAAGGAATATAAACATTTCATGAGGATGACTTAAAGGTTCTAAGTTGGAAAACGAGTTGACACTTGTGATGATTCCTTCAAAGTGAGTGAAAATTGCATTGTAGCAGTAAATATCCTTTAGTCTTTCCCAAGAGCTAAATAAGGTGCTCTTTACTATGTAATAATAGGAGTTTCACTTTTTACTGCCTCCCTCATTGAATGGTGTCTACTAAGCAATTATACTTCAGCTACGCTGCCTCTTTTCCCTTTCCCCTTTTCCCCTTCTTCTGAAGACTAGAAAGAGATGAATGCAAGAGCACACAAGCAATGAGAATTTCACTTGAAGGCAATCAGTTTTAAGAAGCACTTTGCACAAATGCGCTGCATTTAAGAATGCTTTTGGTACGTCTATCTTTCCATGGGACAACCCAGCCCAGTGTACAGAAACCAAGAAACCAAGACTGACTAGTTGTGGAACTTAGGTAAATCATATACTTTCTCTATTTTCCACTTTTTAATTTATTTAAGTAATCTCTAGGCCCAATGTGGGGCTGGAATTTATGACCCCAAGATCAAGAGTTGCATGCTCTGTGGACTGAGCCAGCTAGGCACCCCTCTGTTATTCTAATAGTCACTTTTTCTATATATATTGCATGGTTGGTTGTTGTTGTTTTGGTGACAAATTCTACACAAAAGTAAGGTAGGTATTGTTAAGGAATGCCTTGTAAATATTAAATCCGTTTTTATTTTTTTTAAAGATTTTATTTATTTATTTGACAGAGAGAGACAGCGAGAGAGGGAACACAAGCAGGGGGAGTGGGAGAGGAAGAAGCAGGCTTCCCGCGGAGCAGGGAGCCCAATGCAGGGCTCGATCCCAGGACCCTGGGATCATGACCTGAGCCAAAGGCAGATGCTTAACGACTGAGCCACCCAGGTGCCCCTCCCTTTTTAAATCATTATAAAGGCAGATAAATTATTACTTTCTTTATTCCTTTCCTCTATTTTTGTAACAACCTAACATTTTATTGAATAAAGAGTCATGAAACTTAAGAGTTTGAATAAATGCTGGAGGTCAAGTTAAAATTGGTATTTGAGAAATAATTCAACTTCTATGGCCTCTTCTTAATTTACATATTAGTCAATCAATAAACAAACATTTGTTCAGTGCTTCCTGTGTGTCAGGAGTTATGTTGGGCTGTGGGATGGGAGGGATACAAAGTACTCTATTTCATCAAATCAAAAACAGTTTGGATTATAAGAAGCATCTCAATTTTCTGAGCTGTTAAAATGTGGAAAAATATGCATCTAAGACGTGGTTATATGTGGGTAAAAAACAAAGAGCTTCCACGGTGAAAAAACAGAATATATCCATATTCTACCCATATCCAATTGAGTGCTAGAAACAAAAAGCATCTCCAGAAGTTTAGTGCAGCAAGAAGTCTCAAGGAGCTGAAGGTGGTGAGGGAGGTGCACTGTGTATGACACTGGCCTAGTTCTGCTAACGTATTTTCTATTGATTCTATAAAGGCATGGGCAAGAAAAGAACAAACTAAAAACTAAGATTTATACTTTCCCTCCTGAAATGTGACAACTTTAAGTTTTGTTAAGACTTCTGAATCCCGTAGTTACACCAACCCAAAACCATGATTTCTCTTGTGTTGGAAAATTTAACTTACCAACAATTCTGTAAATTATGAATTAAGCAAATACATACTTTGCTAACATAAGAAGGAAACTTAGGGGAAACGGCCCAAATCATTTAAAATTTGAGCCTGTAATAATGGATGCAAATACTTTAAGATAATAGTTTTGGCATCATTCCTATGCTGGGAGAGTGAAAATCAAAACTGTTCTCCAGTGGAAGTTCTAAACTATGTCTGCATCTGTAGCTCTAGGCCAGGTTCCTAGGCCACTACTAAGTCCCTGTTTCCCCACCCCCCACCCCAAGCTGTAAGTACCAAGACCTCCATCCTCTGATTAAAGAGGACTCCAGTTGATGCTACACTTAAGAGTTTAATCTTAGGACCACTGTTCATTCCCCTCCTCAAAGAACTTTGAACTTCAAGCTTCTTAGCTCCCGCTACTGTCCTCTGCTGCATCTACTGTGACTAATCACACTTCTGCATGAAAACAAATACTTGTAGGACCTTCCAGACCACAGCTGACTTTTATTAAGCCTTTGTGTCCACTGTTCTCCAGGAGTCAGCTGTGACTAAATCTGCCAAGCTTCATTCTGGTTTTCATAGGTCAAAGCCCCAAATAGAATTACCTGCTCTCTTCCCAAATTTGTCCTCTGTGGAACTGTCATCCTAAAATGCTCTACACTTCCTTAAGCCTAGTGTAATCCTTCTCCTCTCTCCCTACACAAACCCTCCATTTGCCCTCTGGAATTCCAATTCCTCTACACACTCAATCATTTCCCTGAATGCTCCTTCCACTTGGGTGCTTATTAAAACCTAGCCTTCTCTAGGACACTTCCCAGGCTGTTCCCTCCAGTGAGATCTGCTCATATTTTTCACACCTCTTTAGTGTCAGGAGACCAGAATACTCCCCGGTGCTAGTCAGAGTCCACTGCTTCCCCACTCTCTTGTAGAAACCCCTGCCACCCACTCCCTGATTGGTCAATGTAATCCACCTGCCTTCTGTGTGCTCATCGTTCACAGAAGATACTGGCACTTGGTTACTGTGTTCCTGTGTCCTGCAAGTCCTGCCATCATCCTAAGTGAGTTCAGAAAGACCCGCCTAATCTCTGATGTCCTCCTCCAATGCTACTTGGCCACCTATCCCTGCCACGCACACCCCCAGTCACTCCCTGGACCTTGTCATCATCACCTAAAACTCCTCTACTTTCTTTATTTCTAAAATCACTAATTCTTTTCCCCCTCCCCTAAAATCACTAATTCTAATAGCCCACTTTCTTACCACAATCACCTATACTTCCAGCTCACTTATTACACCAGCCTGACTGCAAATGCCCTTTCCCTTTGTTTGAAAAAATTATGGAGCACTTCGCTTCCTTTCTGTTACCTCCTTCCTGTCTTTACTTCTCTATTTATCTGGCTTAGCGTTCATGGTCCATCATTTCACTCGCTCTTAGAATTACCCTGAACTCTCTCCTTAAATACACTCTTTCCTTGTCTTCTAAGACACCACACTCGCCTGGTTTCTCTTACTTGTCCAGCAGGCTTTCAGAGACATTTTTACTCCCTTCTCCCTCCTCTATTACAAAACATTTACATGTCGGAGTGTTTCAGGGATCTATCCTAGGAGCTTTTCTCTTTTCATTCAATATCTTTTCCTTAAGTAATCACAGCTCTTCCTATGGGTTTAATTACTGTCAGTATGCATATGCTCCTCAAATTCACACTCGAATTCAGAATTGTTGTTTGAGCTCCAGATTGATATACCTGCTTACCTGACATCTTCAAGTGAATATCTCCAAGGGATCTCCAACACAGTGTGTTCAAAAGTAAACTCATCACTTTCCCATTAAAGCTATTCCTTCGAGAAACCCAAGTCACCTTTGACATCGCCCTCTCTCACATCTCCCCATATTTAAATAATCTCCCCATATTTAAATAAGATCTGTTAATTCTATCTCCAAACTATTTCTCAAAATTTGTCCACTTTTTCCATCTCTACTGCCACCTCTCTGGTCCAAGTCATTATCATTTTTCATTCAATAGGTATTTACTCAATATCTACCATGTGCCATGACCTGTAAGCGCTAGAATATACAGCTGCAAAGGAGCCTCTTGCCTGGATCACTTAAATAATTGGTCACATTGAAATTATTTTTTCCCCCTCCAGTCTGTTTTCTGCTTTGGAAACAAAGTTTCATTTTGTTTTTTAAATGCAAATCTGATTTTTTCATCACTTGATGTATGGATTAAACTAGATTATGAATGTAAAGGACTTAGTGTCTGGCATGTGATAGTCAATAAATGCTAATCGGTGGATATATGTTGAATAACTCAGTAAACGATTTTGGAATAACTGGCCAGCCATTTAGAAAAAATACGACTTTATCCCTACCTCACTCCTTAGACCCAAAGTATGTCGGGGGAATGAAACCATAAAAATACTCGAAGAAAACAAGGGGAAATATTTGTATAACCTTGGAGTTGAAGAAAGGCTTTCAAAACATGTCCCAAAAGTTAGAAGCCATAAAGAGAATCTGGTAACCACATACCAATGTAAACATTCTGCATAGTGAGAAAGGCCATACATAAGACTGGAAGACAAATAGCAAATAGTGAAAATATTTTAAAAAATAGTGAAAAAATTTATAATAATTAAAAAGAGTTAATAACAAATATCTAACTAGCTTCTTATAAATCAACAAGAAAATATTAACAACCCACTAGCAAAAGGTCAAGCTGCATAAATAGAAAATTCACAATCTAAGATCTACAAGTGCCTAAGAGCCTAAAGAAAATAAGAATAAAACAATAAGCTATTACATTTTACCTATAGGTTGGCAAAGATTAGAAAGACTGACTACATTCCGTGTAGGTAAGGAAAATGGGCACTCACCTGCACTTTAGGTGGAGCATAAATTTGAACAATCTTTCTGGAAACAGTTTGGCAATGGGGAACCTAATATGAAATATGTGTACCTCTTGATATAGTAATTCCACTTCCAGAAATTTACTCTAAAGGGATCATTTAAATGGTTCAAAAAGATGTATGCTGAGAATGTTCACTGCATAATTTATAAAATTGGAAATAGATATTTATTGAAACAGCAATGATCTTCTTTGGCGCTGTTCATGATACTAGGGATACAGAAATTACAATATAGAGTGAAAATTCCTTTTCTCATGGAGTTTACTTCCAAGGGTTAGAAAAACATTAAACTATAAACAAATAAGATACTTTCAAATAGTGACACATGCTTTGAGGACATAAAACCGGGTGCAAGAACGTGACAAATTAAAAAGAAAAGGTGTTTTAATATATAACAGAAGAAATTTTTCCTGATGTGAAGAGCTGTGGAGCACTGATTCTACACAGGAAAAGGACATACTGTGTCGCAAGAAAACCAACAATGAACAATTGAAACCAAGATATATCCTGATTAAGTTCCTTAGCTTTCACGATGAAGAAGGAATTCTTCAATCAAACAGGCTGAAAAAGCAGATCACGTATAAAAAGGAAGAATCAGGCTGGTCTCAGACTTCTCCACAGCGGCATTCAGTGGCTGCAAAGTTTCTAGGGCAATAAAGTGAGCCCAAGAATATAATATCTGATCAGGTTGTCATTTAAGTCAACAAGCCAATAACACACATTCTCAAACAAGCAAGAACCTGGGGAGTAAATAACATACAATCCTTCCTGAAAAAACAACTTAAGATGAAATCAAGCCAACCAAGAGATGAATGAAAATGCTGGGGTAAAAGTAAAGCAACATTCGACATCAGAAAAACAATGGAGCATGACTTCAAGGGTGTGAGGGGAAGCAAATGCAACCCATGAATTTTATTCTTAGTCAGGTTGCTTTTCAGGTAAGGCATACCTCGTTTTATTGTACTTCACTTTATTACATTTCATAGTTTTTTATAAATTGTGGCAACCCTGCATTGAGCAAGTCTATTGGCGCCATTTTTCCAACAGCATTTGCTCGTTTTGCGTCTCTGTGTCACATTTTGGTAATTCTTTTTTTTTTTTTAAGGTTTATTTTATTTATTTGAGAGACAGAGAGCATGAGCAGGAGGGACAGAGGGAGAGGGAGAGAGAATATCCAGCAGACTTCGTGCTGAGCATGGAGCCCAATGTGGGCCCAATCCCACAACCATGAGGTCATAACCTGATCAGAAACCAAGAGTCAGATGCTTAACCGACTGTGCCACCCAGGTACCCCTCATTTTGGTAATTCTTGCAATACTTCCAACTTTTTCATTATTATTATATTTGTTATGGTGATCTGTGGTCAGTGATCGTTGAGGTTACTATTGTATTTGGGGTGCAATGAACATGTATTATGGGGCACCATGAACTGTGCCCATATAAGATGGCAAACTTAATCCATAAATGTTTTATGTGTTCTAACTGCTCTACCAACTGGCAGTTCACCTGGTCTCTCTCCCTCTCCTCGGGCCTTCCTAGCCCCTCACACACAAAAATATTGAAATTCGGCCTGTTAATAACCCTACAGTGGCCTCTAAGTGTATGAATAAAAGGAAGAACTACACATCTCTCACTCTAAATCGAAAGCTAGAAATGATTAAGCGTAGTGAGGAAGGCATGTTAAAAGCTGAAATAGGTCAAAAGCTAGGCCCCTTAAGCCAAATAGTTAGCCAAGTTGCTAATGCAAAAGAAAAGTTCTTGAATGAAATTAAAAGTGCTACTCCAGTGAACACATGAATGAAAAGAAAACAAAAGAGCCTTATTGCTAATATGGAAAAAGTTTGAGAGGTCTGGATAGATCAAACCAGCCACAACACTCCCTTAATTCAAAACCTAATCCAGAGCAAGGCCTTCCCTCTCTTCAATTCTGTGAAGGCCAAGAGAGGGGAGGAAGCTGCAGAAGAAAAGTTGGAAGCTGGCAGAGGTGGGTTCATGAGGTTGGAGGAGAGAAGCCATCTTTGTAACAAAAAAAGTGCAAGATGAAGCAGCAAGTGCTGGTGTAAAAGCTGCAGCAAGTTCTCCAGAAGATGTGGCTAAGATAATTCATGAGGGTGGCCACACTAAACAACAGATTTTCAATATAGACAAAACAGTCTTATATTGGAAGAAGACGTCATCTAAAACTTTCATAGCTAGAGAGAAGTCAATGCCTGGCTTCAGAGCGTCAAAGGACGGGCTGACTCTTGCTAGAAGTTAATGCAGCTGGAAATTTTAAGTTGAAGGCAATGCTCATTTACTGTTCTGTTTACAACATGGTTTACTGAATATTTTAGGCCCACTGTTGAGACATACTACTCAGGAAAAAAAGATTCCTTTCAAAATATTGCTGCTCATTGATGATGCACCTGGTCACCCAAGAGCTCTAATGGAGATGTACAATGCGATTAATGCTGTTTTCATGCCTGCTAACACAGCATCCATTCTGCTGCCCATGGATCAAGGAGTAATTTCAACTTTCAAACTTATTATTTAAGAAACACATTTTGTAAGGTTATAGTTGCCGTAGAGACTGATTCCTCTGACAAATCTGGGCAAAATACATTGAAAGCTTTCTCAAAAGGATTCTCTATTCCAGATGCCATT